AGCAAAGGTTAGCATAGGGGCTCTGAGTGATGCAGCAGGTGGAAGAGATGCAAGAGAATGGGTAAAATGCCCCCCAGCCAGAGTTATCTGTATTGCTGGAGYATAGTGAGATCCCGTGGGATACTTCCCGAGGAACGGACTGCGCTTGCAGGCGGATAGAGCACGTCCAGCTCAGCCCACGCAACGTCCAGCTCCAACCTGGACGTCACCTCTGAACACACCACATCTCCTGGAACCTACCCTCCGGATCAACCTAAATTCCTCAGGACACAATCCCAGCTCATGCAAGAATAAGAACATAAGAATAAAGTGATAGCTCCTATTCACAGGGAATTATYCCAGAAATTTCTTTCTTACCCTAAATAAGGGGTCAAGAAAATGACGGGAACATGCAGCCGATGGCTGGGCGAGGAGCTCTGCACACAGCCTGCAGGACTAACCTGCAGGTGGGTTTAACCATGAGGAGGTTCTGTTTAGAGCCACGAACACAGTGTATTTTCAGAAGGAAAACGCTAGTGAGGCAGAGAACAAGCGCTCTGAGCGAGGCAGAGACAAATGCACGCACGAAGCTCAGAGCAAGCCTGGTAGCAGCAAGGAAGCTGCCAGTTTGGGCTTGTTCTGGTACAAAGAGCATCGCGGCTCCCCCGTTCCAAACCCCTGTATCATCTGCTCATCCATACGGCGGCTAATTCAGGTAACTGCTGCATCTCTGATTTTATGCGCTRCCATTTCTGACTTCAGATGCTAAAGCTAGGTACAACTCCCTAAACTCGACATTGCCATAGGGAAGCTCACTAGCAGTCTGGTTTAGAAACTAAGCATGCAGATGTAGCCTTCTAATCTGAATATCTAAAAATTYCCCTGCTGGATAGTGGCATGTTCTTTAAGCAGAGCTGCCTTTTCTTAAGCTGCTGCCACAGCCTTTTTTTTGAAAGGGCTTTACATTGCATATGGGGGAAAAATAAGAACCGTCAATACTTATTCTCTTAAGGTTAAGTGGCTTCTGAAAACACTATCAGAAAATTTAGTGCTCCAGCACATCATAGGCAAGCTAACCAAAGGCAATTGTATTTACAGATGTACTTTTTTGCTCTGATCCTATTCTCTTCCCTCAGAATACACCAGCGCTTCCCAAGCCAGAGAGGCTTCTTCCAGAGGCTCAGCTGCAACGCGACGAGAACCGAGTGACTTTGATGCAGTTTGGGCTGCAGCTCAGCCCCGGGCCGGGCACCCCGGATCCCAGGGGACCATAGGTTTCCAGCCAAGAGCAAACCAGAGCAAGGTCAGCTCTGCCCAGCTCTGCAGAGATGCTTTGACACAGCAGAGAATTCAGCCAAGTTCTCCAAAACGTCGGGTTTCCTCTCCAAATTGCACCTACCAGTAAGTCACCATGCTCCCCAACAGCCTGTGTTTTTACCACCGAACCATAGCCAACTATGCAGCAAAAATGGGCATTTTGCACATTTTAGTTTGCTTTTATTCACATATACAATAACTGCCTGGCTCTAAATCACCCCGTGTTTGAGTTTTGTATTTCACGCCTATCAGCATTCCATAAGACACAGCTTTTACTAAATCCTTTGGGGACGTGGCAGAGGGCAGGCAGGGCTTGGGATGAAAGGGCCCCTGACTTGCACATCCAAACCTAGCAAAGGATTTTGCAGCACCTCAAACCACAAATATACCAATAACCAGAATTCAGAGCAAAAGTTTCTGCTCCAAAAAAGTAAAAATATACCTATTTTTAGAATGGTCTAGAGTAAGCAGTACAGCTTGTCAGAGATACCACATAAAAGCAGGTAACGGAGTGAGCTATTGCTACATAAAGCAGTACAAATAGAAATTGAAGTCTTGCCTTGTCTCCCTTTTCCATCATCAAGGAATAAAGCAGGAAGAGACCAACCCCGCATAGATTGCAATTCAAGGCTGACTCTCCCCTTCTCCAGGCTGACTTAAAAGGAGGCAGAGCACATATGCACTGCACAGGGTCCTAATAACTCTTCAAATAAATACCAGGATATTAGGTTTTCAGCTGCCTATAAAACTGATACACTGTGCCTGTCCTATTGCAAGCTCCTGCTCCAAAACCATGCCCGCCCCTGAATTAAGCAAAAGCTTTTATCAGAAAAGCCTTCCCAGGTCTATGCCCRCTCCCACCCTCTGGCAGGGAGTCCAAACAGGCAACCAGGGTCTTCTGCTGAAGCGTTAAGTGCAACAACATTTAGGAACTTGTAGGTAATTAGCAGCTTCTGCAATAATTGATACTCCCAGCCAAGTGGGGCTGCTAGCAGGGGCCCAGGGCAGGACCAGGTGGTYCCTAGCTTGAGATTTTAAGCAATTTGGATGCTCACGGGTGAGTACTTGCATGGCAAGGCAGGTGGTGGGCATCCTGCAAAGCCCCTGCCTCCCAAACACCCCTGAGAAAGTCACAGTATCTACAGAAAAAAAGCCCATTTGCCTCCTTGAGCGTGGAGCCAACTTTAAGCATTAGTATAGCTACAAGTAGTATTTAGAGGCTGGTGCTGGAATTTAAGTCATAAGGTGACAAGACAGAATCATGGATGCAAGTGATCRAGGAATTGCTACAGACTGGCCCGACTTCTCACTTGATTCATCCGTGGCCGCTGCAGACCAAAGGGGACACCAAGGGCACTGCCAGAGCCCCGTGCGCAGGGACAAGGGACAGAAGAGCACCCCCACGGCAGAACTCAACACAGCAGCTGGCTGCCTAGTTTCCATGCTTTGAAAGATGCTTTTGGGGAAGAGTCCAACGGGTTAGGAAAGCAGCCCAAGCTGCCTGCACGGGGGACCTTGCAGGGACCTCAGGGGAGCAGGTTTTCCATAGGGATTTGGGGAAAAATATACTGTACTCCTCTGGTCATGCCCAGAATGGCTTATCCCAAGGAAGCCGAGCTTTCCCACTCCATGGAAGCCTGCACAGCAGCCAGGAACTCACCAGGRCTTTGCAGTGCTCCCTAGAACTACCAGGTTCACATCCCAAAAACGCTTCCACTCTTTTCCACATSAATACGGACCAGGCAAGTCACAGTTTTCCAATTCAATACCTGCATTGCCCTTTTAATTATGCTTTCCATTTTATTTCCTTATACACCCACAGAATTTGCCTGCATACATATGCATGTTTATCACTGTTCTAATCAAGACTAAAACTATTTCGGAAAACAAACCTCTTCTCAGAAGCACCCTGCAAATCTGACAGGCAGAAGGCTGAGCATCAGGAAAACACAACATTACCGTGTTACAGATTTAATTTCTCATCCAGAAGAGCTTTATATTGCAGTCTGTGGCCTCAAGACTTATTTTTGCTTTATAAATGCAAAGCACAACTGCAATAACTCCACCACAGACCATGAAGAAATCGATTTAGCAATCTGAACATAAATTAAGCAATGTTTTWGATTCAGTAAACTTGTTCCTATTTAGATGAGAACAAGTGTTACTCAAGGTCGCTGACCCGTACCTGAGTATTCACTTTGATGAAGTTTGCAGAAATTTTACATGAGAGCATCCTTCAAATTATTTGACCTGAAAATTAACCCTTTACGTATATTCAAAGTAATTTCAGTGATTGCTCAGGAGCTTGGCTATTTGTGATTTGCTATTTAAAACATGTGTTAATGGAATTACATATTAATCAAGCCATGTACTTGGTAATTAAAAGCCTTTCTCATGAATAAAGAGCAGCATGTGAGAGTACCCAACTGCTGCCCGTTCCAAGCCCATGAACTGTGAGAAACTGCAGATCCCCAAAGCCAAGAACAGCTCCAGTTTCAGCGTGTGATATGTATTGCAAATTAAAAAAAGTATGTAGAAAAGAATTTCAAGAAATATTTATTAATAAAGGCAAAATGACTAAGCTGTTTGCTGAAAGAAAAAGATAAATATTTTTTTTGAAAAAAACAGAGTCCTTCGTTTCGCTAACCTGCGAGAAACTAGTCCAGTCTCAGAATTTCAGTCTGGTTCTGGACTGTATAAGCACTGTTTATTATAGAACATAAATGGCTTTCTGTATAGCCACTTCTTCAAAAATCTGGATCACAACTGTTACATCCCTTGAAGTTTTTAACTGCATACTTCRTATATGACAATGCATGCAAAATATTATTTCTAATAAAAGGCAGAAGTGATTGGGGCAACACARGAGTTGAACATTGCAGTACTTGCACATTACACCACTTTGTAAAGGAAGAGAGAGAAAAAAAGCAAASTGTTCCAGGCAGGAAGAACAGATGTTGTTGCCTTTACAGAACAATAACACCTTAAGAAAAAAAGCACATGAGACCAAAGTAAGAGCATCAGAATCAGCAGCAACTCCACAGAAAACAATTTCCAAGTCCTGCTAGGCAGTGAAGAACATTTTTAAGAACCAGCCTCAAACCATCCTATTAAATTAACACATACAACTGGGTATTTGTAGATGGGAGGGAACCAGGAAAAATCTGGTTCTCCCAACAGAACAACATCCTGCTGATGAGCTCCTCAGCGCTGCCACGTCCAGCAGCCCTCCCTCCCCTTGCAAAGGGCTCTGCACCTCGGGAATCGGGCACCAGAGCATCAAGAGGGTGCAGGGGACGGTGCAGGTGCCAAGCACTCACATCAGGGCTTCCCTTTAGCAAAGCTGCAAAAGGACTTGCTGGGTTTCACCTGAAAATCCAGGGAGCCAGGACAACGGGCACTCAAGCTTTAGTTGTTGCCATCCCTGCAGCACGCGGCAAAGCCTGGGAGGCAAAGGCTGCATCCTGACAATTATCAGGTGCAAAATTCCATTGCTAGAACTATGGCAACACAGCAAAGAAGTGCAAGAACTTGTTTCATGGCTCCTACGCCATTACCATTTTTTCCATGGACTCCTCAGCAATCATTTAATACACATAAGCCCTCACTTGTTTTCTCTTTTCACAATACAAAAAGCCTGAATACAGCATAAAAATAGAAGCAATAAAACAGATGTAGCTGCAGCAGCTGCTGATTTACGGTACCTCTTGATGCAACCTTCCTGCATCCGGATACAGCCTTCTGCTCCGGTCCGATTCCATCCATCCCCTCATGACCGACGGGAAAACCCCAAGCAACACGAGAGAGAACCAAACGCTTCTTGATTTCATCATTTCACGTCTGTTGGAAACAAGAGAACAGTCATAAAACATTATCGTCTGAAAGCAAAACACAGCTGAGATCCACTAGCACGGCAGAAGCTCCAGCCAAGAGCATATATCTATACTTAGCAGTTGCCTGTGGAGCTCTGCGGGCTGGCGGGGCATAAGCCATAAACACTGATGTCCTGCTTTGCACCCGTCAGCGCCTGGGCACCAAATCCCCATTTTCCGATAGTTTTATGAAGTATTTGCCCCCCGGCTGCTCCCAGCCTGCRCCCACGCAGCAGCGGCAGAGCCGGGGACCTGCTGCAGCCTGCAGTAAATGGGGTCATTCCCGGATCTCAGAGCACCGTGTGCRTCCCTTGATGCCACATCCAGGCAGGACAGCACGCGGCTCCTTCGCAGCCTCACACTCCTAGCGCGGCAAATCTCCAGGCCAGCCCAACAAAAACAGGTCCCGAGACCCAAGAGGTGGGTGTTTCACCCGCCTTCTTGTGCTGGACACCACATTGCACCGTCACCTGCCACAAAAACCAGAGCAAACGCGGGTTTTCCACTGTACTTGCAGGAGGCTTTGACCTTCCCCTGCAGCGGCACAAGGTGCTAACATAGACTARCATTAAAACCTAAAGAGGGCTTAATGAAGCAAGCTGTGGTGCTTCTGGAGGATGCAAGAGGCCACTGTTTGGTTTGAGCAATGCCCATTAACAAGACAAGTCACCTGCTAATAACAAAAGTAAGCCTATTTGTATCAAGTCCCTAGCAATATACCTGATACAGGACTCATTTTAGAGCGTTTTCAGACTGTGCATTTGCTGCGGGGTGTATCCAGACCTGGAGCAACACCTCGTTTTGGAGCTGTGACCATCGAGACCAGTGCTGAGCTGTTGGCTTTAGCTGCTTCGCCTGCCCAAAGGCTCCCTCACCAAGACAGAGGCACTTTACAGCCTCTCCACGCCACTCAGCGGAGTTAAGTCCTTGCTATTCCTCAGTGCTAATGTAAACACCGTGAATTGAGAGCTCTCGGAATGAAATCGGGATTTATTAGGCTTGCTAAATTCCAGTCGGAAAGCTCAGATGTAGCGTTACTGGGGCTACAGATGAATGTTTAATAAGCCAAAGGCACTACATCAATAAGCAACAAGTCCAACGTCACACTACAGACTGCTCCTGCTCAGCAGCCCTTTCTCAGCTTTTTCACAGGGATATTCCCTATGCTTTGCTGGCAATTCTAGGATTATTTGCTGTTCAAAATCAGTCCCGCAGCACAAACAGCAGACCAGGYAGCTTCATTCATGCATAACTAGTAAATGACTACTAGAAAACACGATGGTGCTTGGATCAGGCTGCACACAACACTGAGGAAACAGAGAGGGCAACCTCCCATGCTCACTACATTAGTTCTTCCTAATTCAAATTTGCAAAACATCTTTATCACCCCATTTAGAAATGGTTGCACACTGCCCGGCTGTGCTAGCAAGACACAAGGCACCAGGAGGTCACATTAATGTATATAATGTATGTTAACAACCTAAAGCAAGCTCCAGAGATGCACCTTAAGCAGGAAGCAAGGGTTAATGCTGGGAGGAAGGAGCGCTGCCATCGCTCTGGGCACCCTCTGCAGCCACAGCTCCCCGCRGGACCCAGGCTGCAGTTGTGGCATACAGTAAATATAGAGGAATAACAACACGGACACGGGATTGCAATGCAAAGTTCACCCAAGCCAGCAGGGAGGCTCAAACCAATCTGGAGCATCCCTGCTAACTCTGGCAGGTTTTACTAAGCTTTATTTTCCTCACTTGAGGCAGAGGCACAAGCTGCTATGGGCATCATTSCCCACATGAAGGGACGGGCACACGCTGGGAGCCAGCACAAAACCATGCGGTCCGTGACAGGGAAAACAAACAAAACGGGGGGCTAAGGATCAGCACAAACCTAAAAATCCAAGGAGGGGGGAACCCACCACACAGCCGCTCTTTGCRGCATGCACAATTGCAGATACAATGCAAAAAATAATGCCAAAGAAAGACAGCATTGTAGATAGCTAATAACAAACCCGCCTCTTAAATGAGATGAATGCACCGCCAAGTGTGCGGTGCATCCCCTGGGATCCGGGGTCGCTTCCAGAACAACTCGGGCTCTGACACCGCGAGGGCCGGTGCACAAACCCGCGGGCAGCCCGGGGCGCCGAGCTCAGCGCCGCTCCCCTCGCCAGGGGGGGACCAGCCCCATGCCCCCCCCCAGCGCAGGACACCCCAAATCACCCCAAACGGCAGCAAAAGGCGCCGCGCCGACGGGCAGACCCCGCAGCACGGAGCACCAGCGCCGCAACCCCGGCGCCGGGCGGGATTATAAATAACTGGTTAAAGCAGYCGGCAACGCGGCTGGCTTTTCCCTAACTTTAAAAAAACCCGAACTCCGGCAGCGGTTTCGGAGGTTTCCAAGGAGCCCCGCGCCACGGAGATGCCCAACTTCCCGGCGCGCGGCTGTCACAGCGCGGGGACCCGCGGAGCGGCCCTCGGGCTGCCCCGAGAGCGCTCCCGGGGCTGCAGCGCCCCGCAGGMCGCTGCAAAGACACCGAAATTAAGCGAAATGAACCCATTCCGCGTAACTTTTCCACAAGGAAGCCGCGCGACGCCGCCCGTTACCCCCGCACCCGCGACGGGAACGGGGAGCCCGGGCGCACGGAGCACCGCGAGGCGCCGCCGTTCCGGGGGAGCGGAGCGCACAGGTTCATTAAGGGCGGTAATTAGCGCCAGCCGCGGCCCCGCCGCCGGGGACCCCCCGACGGCTCCGCGGCGCCACCCAGGGGCCGCGGCGGGAGCTGCGCGATGCCGAGCGGGGACTCGCCGTCCCGACGGCGGCGGTGGCGACACGGCGCGCCCCCCCCGCCACGGGGTGCGAGCGGCGGCGGCAGCACCAGCGTGGACCCCCCCGTCCCGCTGGCGGCGCGGGAGCGGCGCGCGGACTCACCTGCGGCGTGGGGCGGCGCGCTGCGGCGCTGCGCTGCGGCCCGGCGGAGGCGGCTCAGTGCGCGCCGCGCGCCGCGCCGGCCCTATTTCTGCGCTCCTGGGCCGGGGCCGCGTGACGTCAGCGGCGCATTTGCATATTCCGCCCAATCGGCGGCACCTGGCCGTGCGGAGGCCACGCCCACTGGAGGGAGGGGAGCGCGACCGCCCCGTCGGGGACACGCGGGGAGGGGGGGACATTGGGGACACCCCCACGTGCTTCCACCACCCCCCCATCCCACCCCGTCTGTGCGCAGCCGGGTAGGGGGCAGTTCGAGGGGTGGGTGTGGGGGGGTGACATTGGGGACACCCCCACGTGCTTCCACCCCCCCAGCCCACCCCGTCTGTGCACAGCCCGGTAGGGGGCAGTTCGAGGGGTCCTCGAGCAGCACCCGAGGGGCCTCTCCTGCCAGAGGTTTAAAAGGAAATAAATAAGGGCAGGAAAGGAGCCGTGTTCCCTGGCCCTGGGCGGCTTCTCCCACGGGAGTCTGGCCCAAATTGCCCAAAATGTCCTGAAAAAAAAGTCCCTGCCGACCAGCTCTTTGAAGAGCAAGTGATTTGGTTCGTTTTCCCTCAAACTGCGGAGCGGATGGAAACAGGACTCTGCTTTCCACCAGACAAGGAAGGATGGGGTAGTACATCTTGGAGAAAAGTCTGGACTGGAGCAAATCACCCCCTCCCGGCCAGCCCCGCTCCCTAATTGCGGTAATTAAACCCTGCAGGCGCCCGGACAGCGCGCGTGTGGACGAGACGGCGCTCGGTGCTAATGGGAGAGCGGGATTCGCGCTCATCCCTGCGGATACTCGGACCAGGAGCGTAAATTGGCCCTCATTAAAGCAGGCGCTCAGAACCACGTTGAGCCCAAACTCGGGATGTTAAACAAATACAGATGTGACAAGAGCCGTGATTCAATTATTAGGCGTCCGTCTGTTAATTGCTCATTAAGATGATCGCGTGTAGCTTCGCGTACGTACGCTTAGCCAAGACTTTTCGCTTGGACAGCGCATAAAATTCCCGCTGCCAACTGCACGGCGCGTACTTTCCGTGTCAGCTTTGGAGCTGCCAGCTCTTCATTAGCCTCTTGGTCACTAATTAATAAGGAGGAACAAAATTAATAGCCGCCGCGAACCTTGGGAGACGGCGTCCGCCTCGCGCCCGCGTGCCGGTGCAATTGCCGCTTGTTCCCGCTCCCGTTTAATGCGCTCCTGTCCATAGCCATGCATGGGACCGTCCCTCCTGCTGCCCTGGTGGCCCCGGTGTCGAGGACAGGACCGGCAGCCGCTGGACGATGTTTGGAATATGGAAGCTCTCCCAAAGCACAGGACTCGCGCACACGGAGCTGTCGGGACACACGAATGGATCCTGCATGGCACCTGTTTTCCTCAGTTTTCCTATCCAAGGGTTTTTGCTGAGCCCCTCTCCCGGGTGCTGAGGAGAAACCATCAAAGACGGTTTGTGAAATAATCCAAAGCAACCAAATCCGTGAGCTGGAGCTTCAGAGCGGTCACCCCATCGTTTGAGTGGCYCTTGGGTGCTGCAGAAAACGTGCAAAATAAAGAAATTTTCACAGTCTAGAGCGGCACCTGCATCATTTATAACTTTTAGAGGTGCAAGGTGTGATTCTGGTAATATCTTAAAATCAAAAGKCGGCTACTCCGTCCCTGCAGCTGTGGTCCCCTCCTGGAAGCCRGATCCTGCAGCCAGCCCACCAGCAAGCCAGAGCCTTCCATACCGACCTAACTGGCCCTAAATGTAGGGAAATGCTGAAAATTATCCTTATTTTTGTGTGTTGCGACTGAGATGTCCTCTCTAGGCTCTCCGTCGTGATAAACTGCTGCGGGACGGACAGCGCTCGGCACCGCTGTGGCTTCCAGAGGGCAGGGAATAATCCAGCTTGACGGAGGGGCTGGGAAGCAGCGTTCGAGCCCGGGGCAGGGATTTCTCATGCTGAAGGCACCAGCAAGTGCACATAAGAAGGCAAYGTGTTCAATGGCTTCAACTGATCTGCCTGGGGACCTCGTGCAGACATTGATTTGGGGCTGCTTTGCTTTATTTATGGCCCTTCACTTGAAACAGAGGCTGAAGAAGTGTTTTAAGGAAGGAAAAGATAATCTTGTATTTGTTTCAGTTGCCTATGGAATTACTTTTCCTTGCACATTTGTTACTTGTTAGGTCAAATTTGTGCCGTAACTCTTACAATACAACCCTTTTTGTCACTATCGTGGGGTTATGAGAAGCCTCTCGCTCTTTGCAGTGCCCGTGAATGGCAGCATCCTCTCCCAAAGTAAGAGCAAACACACGTTTTCTTGTCTCTTACTGTCCCAGCTACCTCTTGGATATTAGTCTTCAATGTTTAGTATTAAATCATTTCCCTGCCAGTTCCTCGTAATCAAATCTTGCACAAAGTCGATAGCAATAACGCTTTTATAAGGCGTTGTCTCTCTCCAGCTATTAGGCGCTTTCTGATCTTTGAATTTTCCCTTCTGAAAATAAAASACAGTGGCCTGGAGGAGAGCGTAAAATCGGTGCAAGTAGCACAAGTAATTGTGTAATTACTCGAACCAACCAAATCCGAGAGCCGGAGCTTCAGGTCGGTCACTCAATACTCGGAGTGGCTCTCAGGTTCTGCGGAAGACATTCAGAATAAGGAAATGCTGGAACCTGGGAATCCGTTCCCAATGCCGAACCCATCCGTTCCCAGGTTAACGGGAGCGGGTGCTGGCAGCGCCACGGCGGGTGCATCCGCGCTGCAACACGACGGCGCAGCAGCAGCAGCAGCACGAGCTGCTTTGCAGCCCGCGCGGACCCCGAGCACCGCTGCAGAGCCCAGGGCGACCCGAGCGCTCTCCCGAGCCCTTCCTATTAAACCTTCCTATCGCGGCCTGCTGCAACCCAGGCACGGGGAAGACGTCGCAATGAGTGAAACGAGAATAAGCCTCTCTGTAATTACCCTGCGCTAATGAGCCTCGCCGCGCCGCAGACGGCGGAGCAGAGCCTTATCTAAATGAGCTTGTTGAGCCTCAAGAAGGGAGGGCTCCGGAGGGGACGGCTCCGCTCACAGGAGGCACCTGCAAAGGACGGGGCTGCTGCCACAAGCCGGGACTGGGGAAGCTCTGCTTAGATAAAATGCCAAAATAATCCCCATGGGGCACTTCGACACTGGAACTCACTCTTTCTTTCTTTCTCTTTACTTTTCTCRGTGCATTTTAAGCAGGAAGAATTAGAGAATGGGGACAGCTCTAGTCCCTGCTCTCATCTCACCTTCTCCATCGATTGCCTAATTCCCGACTGCCTGGGAACCTCTACAAAACTCCTCATTGCCAGCGCGTTCAGATCTTGGGGGATGCAACACGCCACTAATATTCAAAACAATATGTTCTGGTCTATGAGTTATATGAAGAACTATCTCCTTTTTGTTTTTCTCTCTTCCCTATTTGTTTGCCTCTCATATGGCCTTAATGAAGATCTTGCAATCTTTCCGTCTCCCCAGGGGCCCCCGGGTGCAATCTCGTAGGTGCATTAAAATATTCCCTCCCTGCCTCAAGCCGCAGATTGAAAACTGCAAACCAGGAGAGGGCTTCTTATAGGCTTCCTGATCCACATACAAACAGATTCCCTTGAATAAGTATAGAGTTAAACCAAAAAAAAAAAAAAAAAAGCGCCCAGAGCATAAAGAGGAAATACACGCCAAGCTTGGAGGCATCTGCTGTCCTTGGGACCCCAAAGTCACAGCAGGATCCCCCAAGCTGTGAAACTTGAAATAAATTTGTGTTGAGGGAAAATCCTTCAAGTCTCCTAGGCAGAAATGGCTAAAATGCCCCGTTTTGCATGTGCCGCCCTCGCCCAAACTTCCCTTTCCGTCCGGGGCGTACGGAGCTTTGGCGGATGGGACGACAGCCCTGCGTGGAGGCGGCTCCCCGGGAAGCGCTCCSGTCGGCTTAGCTCCCTCGCTCCGCTGTCAGTCACTGCAAGAAGTGACGGGATTACTGAAAGCAGCCTCGCTCCCGAAATGTTTTGAAAATCCAGCTCTAAAGCCTCCCTCGAAGCTCCGGTTTGGAAAAGCCCGGCGCAGAGTGTGGGCAGCTCTGCCCAGGGCGCAGCTTTTGCCAATTTGGGCAAATCCTCCCATGAGCAGGGACAGGAGCATCCCCCCCTTCCGGAGAAACCTCCGGGTTTTTATGCCTTAGCTCTTCAAAATAAGGACAATTACTTAGACTTCAAGCACATATTGACAGACCATTTCACTCCGAGTAACCCCAGAGTTCCCCTCAAACTGCTATTTTTGCCTCTCTTAATAGACTGGAGTTCTGCGTTCTCACTCAGCTAAAGCTCCCAAGGTTTATTTGAGTGAAAATGAATAAATAGATGAAGATTTGGTCAGCAGCTTGGCTGGCCTAGCTAGAGTACAGTTTTTATGTGATTTAATTTGAAGCAAGCTGTAATAGAGCTGGTTTGGAGAAGGGGAAAGTGGACAAGAATTAGACATATATTCACRAGAAAATAGACTAACCCTTTTATCCCATTACTTGGGAAGCTACTGGCGTTCGGAAAGGGCTTTGAAAACGTTGGATGATCCAGTCACTGATCCTAAAAGACAACTAGAAAGCAATCAAAATGGAAAGATTATGAAAACTAACCTGCTGGCTGGATATTATTTATCGAAGCTACCGGGTGAGTGCTTATGAATAAGAAATACAATAGCACAAGCTGGAATGGGCTTAAGAATTACACACAATTAATAAATTGACCCATCCTGCATACTGTGTTATTTTCCCTGACATTTTCACAAGCTACAAATCTGATAACACAATTAAATGACAAGTTCAATCACTCCTTTACTTCATGTATATGTATATTATATTTTATAGCTGCATTACAGCAAAGACTGTTTACTCACGATTGTATCTCCCCTAACATAATTCAGCGCTTTGCTTGCCTAAGAAATTACTTGTCTGCGTTTTGATTAAAAAAGCAAAGCCTCATTGTTCCCGGTGGCAAATGAA